AAGAGACGCCCCTGATATCGTCGACAAACATGGCATTGGTTCAGTTATCAATGCTGAGATTTCCACAAAAGAGAAAAAGGGCAATATTGCGATGAAAATAGCCATATCAAAAGGAATAAAACATTATAAAGAAGCCTTGGAATACGCAATAAACTCACAACTTGAAGATAGACAGATGGATATGCACTCGCTTGAAGACTTTCTATCTGAGCACTTGGCATTTTTCGCAGAGTTACTCGAAGACGCTGGCTCAATATTCACAGAGGTCTTTGATCTGGTTAACGCTATCCCTGAAAACTTTGCAGATAACCAGCAGTAAACTAATAGGCATTTCAATTATAGAGGGCGGTCAAAAGCCGCTCCTCAATAAGACCATTCCTTAATCACACTGACGAATCTTTCAGCCGCTTCCGCTACATCACTTTCTGTCGTGAACCTACCAAAACTAAAACGAAAGGATGACTCTATCAAAGCATCACTCACATTCATGGCTCGCAGTACATGTGAAGACGATTCTTTATGGCTATTGCAGGCCGAACCGCTAGATATTGCTAGTGTTTTTAAGCTCATCATCACAGCCTCCGCATCAACATTTGGAACCGAAATGTTAAATATCCATGGGCAGGTATTCGTAAACCCTCCATTCCTAACTGCCCCCTTCAAATGTCGAACCTCCTCCCAAAATAAAGAGGCTAACACTTGAAACTTCTCGTAATCACGACTCATTCGCTCACCAGCCAACTCAAAGGACATACCCATACCTACAACTTGATGAGTCGGAATTGTACCTGAGCGCATACCACGCTCATGACCGCCACCGCTAATCTGCTCCTGCAAATTGATTCTAGGGTTTCTTGACACGTATAATGCACCCACGCCCTTTGGCCCATACAACTTATGCGCGGAAAAAGACATCAAATCAACATCTAGTGTTTTTAAATTAATGGGTAGCTTTCCTGCTGACTGAGCCGCGTCCACATGAAATATTACCCCATACCTCCTACAGATATTACCGATCATCTTAATATCCTGGACTACTCCAGTTTCATTATTAACGTGCATAACTGATAGCAGCACCACATCATCCCCGAGATTCTTTTCAATTTCCTCCACACTCAATCGGCCATCTTGATCAACATCCAGAAAAGTAACTTCAAAGCCTTCTCTTTCAAGCGCCAAAACACTATCCAAAACCGCTTTATGTTCTGTTTTTACCGTTACCACTCGTCTTCTTTTACCGTTTGCATAATGTTTCACCGCACCTTTTATAGCGAGATTGTCGGACTCAGTAGCACCCGATGTGAATATTATCTCCCTGG